AAGTTCAAGTTCAAGTTCAAGTTCAAGTTCAAGTTCAAGTTCAAGTTAACAGAACAAAAACAAAGCAAAAGAGGGGACTGTTACTGTATGTAAAAAAATTTAAAAAGTTTGGAACTTCATAAAAACTGGAAAAAAATGAAGATTGTTAAACTGCTTCATTTGCCATTAGCAAATGGAGATGGTTAACATGAATCTTTTGGTGGTTTTGTAAAGCTTCGGTTTCCAAAAATGGGTCACAACTACAAAAAAAATATACAGCACATAATAAAAACCAAAGAGCAAAAGTAAAATTAAAAAACATCCTGTATGGAATATTAGGGAATAAAAAAAGTCTTCTTCTTGGTGAGTTTGATTCTGGGCTGAGGTGCCCTCTGTGTGGAGTTTGCATGCTCTCCCAGCATCTCAGTGCTCCCTTTTCCCCCCACCTCACAAAGGCACACTTGGCAGGTTTGACAGATTACTTAAATTACTCTGTGTTCCTGAGACAGACTGGTGTCCTGTCCAGAGCAAGAGCAGAGCAACAGCAGCCATGTGCTCTCAGTCTGCCTTGTGCCCTTGTGTGTTTTTGGGATAGTCTCTAAGGTGCCACTATTGCACAAAGACAAAACAGTTTTCCGATAACAGGTGGATGGACGGAGTCTCCAGGAAAAAAATTAGGGAAAGGTATACAGTATACTGTGTCAGACGGGAATTTTGAATTTCGAATGATTCGGAAGAATGCCCTTTCCTCAGCTGGGCAAAGCTTTTCGATTCAGGAGATGGCAGGTGATGATGCTGTGGTGTTTGTATAATAACATATTGAATTTTGTTCCAGTTCCATCTTTCCTACACGGACAAAGAGCGTTATGAAATGGAAGAGAGACCTGAGGTGCAGAAACAAATTCTTCTGGAGATTGCAAAGAAGCTGCCAGTTTTCACCCGGGCTGCCTCAGGCGGTAAGTGACTGCTGAAACATCCACCATTTGCTCTTCAGTGTGTTCAGCCGGAGAAGATGGGTAGATATAAAGTATTCAGCATTACATTCAGAAACCTAAATGTCTGACACATCTGGCTACGTGAAACAGAACATGGAAAAAACATAAATGTAAACTTCCAAAACAATTTTTTGGTACAAGTGGCTTCAGCCTGGAACAGCCCCAGATTATTTGAGCCATTTAAGCATAATACTAAAGTAATTGTTTTAATGTCACATTCTTCTGGCTAACCTTTATCTGGTAGTTATAGCAAGTGTTCTAAATCCACACGACCTGCAGGATAATGTATGCAAGTTCTGTATAAGAATGAACATCAGGCCTGTGCTATAACAGTGTAACTAAGGCTACACTTTTAAGTAAAATTTACTTTTGCTTTTAAAAAGGTACACAGTGATGTGAAGCATCTGTTATACAGATTTAAAGGCTATCTAGATTACTTGATATACTGTAAGATATAGTATATATATAGTATATAGTATATAGTACTATATATAGATATATAGTAAGAGGTGGGCTATCCATGTGCCGGAGCCAAGCCTTTATCCTGTTTGCTTTCTTAATAATGTGCTGTTGACAAGTATACAAACATAATCACTAATCATTCTTCATTTCTCTGTAGCTTCTCTAGAGGATCCGCTAGGTATTATGTTGAAATAGGACTATATCCATTTGTTTTTTCAGTGTATCTATTTGTATCTTCCTAGTAACTGTCTAGTGACCCATAAGAGCATCCTGGCTTTGTTAGAATGGCTGTGCTGGCATCATCCCCTGAGCACTGCCCCCACATAGCTGGCATTTCTGAAAACTAGAGAGATGCCCAAATTCATTTGTCTAAATGTGATGCTGGTTCAGTGGGCGTGAATGTTAGGGAAATGTGGGAAAAAAAGAGAAGGATGTGTAACCTCTATTATAAGCACCTTAATCATTCTAAAAACAAATCCAAATGTTTTTGCTTGTTGATATTTTTGGAGATTTTGTTAGTGTGTGCGAGGGTAGTCAATTTTGCTTCTGATTCTTATGGTTCGTGCTTTCTTTTGTATGAGCTTTAGAATAATTGTATCTTAATCATTTAAGTAGATGATATATTACTACATAACACTCACAGTCATCACATAAGGACGGGGACTGCCACCTCCTCAAATTGAGCAATCTTGCTAAACGGGTTACAAACTTAGACTTGTTCTGAGTCCCAAGAAAATGATGACTCAGTGCAGTCTATAAATCATACTAGATTTTTTGATGCAGGGCTTGCAGAAATATCCGGGTATAAACTAATATACCACTAGCAAATAATAATAATTTTATAGTTCTTAAAACAAGTTTCAGCCTTCTTATTCTAAATCCATTTGAGCGGTTCTTCTTTTGGTTCTCTCAGTCTTCTTATTTCATTGTTTAGTTGTGTTATGGCTGTGTGACGAGAGGGCAGGAGGTCGGGGGTCTTGGTTTCAGTTCAAATGCATGTAACCAGCGGCTGTTTTCATTATGTTTCCAGCCATCAGGTTCTGTGATCGATGCCAGGTAATAAAGCCAGACCGATGCCATCACTGTTCAGTGTGTGAAATGTAAGTCTTTTACCAGATCGTACGCCTTTTCTGTCAGGGGAGGGGGAGAGATTGGCTACCCATTATTTTGTGCGTGAGCCTTTAACTCTTTTAATAACTGCAGACACTGGGGGTGCTGGTTTGAATCAGTCCGTGAAGTTTACTGCCTGAAATCAGGGTTTCTTACATTTTAAGAGCTATTTTCAAGAAGACTTCTCAGCTGATTTGGATTTGAATTTTGTTCCGTATCAAGATCACCATCTTCAAAGTAATACCAGTTCTTTACACAGAGTGGGTTTCATCCGATAGGATTTCAAAGTGCTTTACAGGTAGTAGGAGAGTCACTTTATCAGTCCCTGAACTGCAGCACCTTCCCAAAAGCAACTTCCAGGGAGCATTTAGCCGGGGGATGGAGAAAGACAGTGTTCTTGATTCACTGTATGAGTCAAAATTTGTCACCTTCAGACATGCCAGTGAAAGCTGTATCAGGCCTACAGTTAACGAGCAAGCAATCCAGACCCTGTCATGAATTTATAGGATAGCATTAAACATTTAATCTGGTGTCCTGTTTCAGATGAAAAAGGCTCTTCTGGGACAGAACAATTTAAAAGATGTTGGTAACACATTTTTAAAGACGTGTTTCACCCAGCTGATATACTATTGTGTTCATGTTGCATGCCAGTTTGAAGGTGTGAAGGGAGACTTTTTTTTAGAATACCTGCTTAGTTTAGAATATAGTGTTTAATAAGCAAGGGCACTGAAATGTCGTCCTTTTATACCTCAAACTTTGTTGATGTTTGGTACAAAAGTATTACTGTGCATTTAAGCCTCTGCTGTGACTTACTAATGGCTCACTTTCTGCACTCTGTTGTAATCTACTATGATTTTATCATTTGAGGGTAAAATCATCTGAGTGCAGCACAATAGAGCAAAGAGATCCACTTGTCATATGATCACTTCAGTTCATAATAACCTTCTTGTTCTTTAGTGCCCCTTTCTGGGTCATCAGCACAATAATCTTTCACGGGTTGGGTGCAGGAGAGGGAAATGGCCTACTGTGAGCTGCATGCTGTGTTGCGCAGCTATTTTAGACTCAGAAAGGAGAAATAAACCCCAAGCCTGCATTAAAATCATTTTGATTATAAAGATGGCAAGCAAGGGAGACAATGTATCTCAAATATAAGACATTGATAAAGCTACCGTATATTGCAGATCTTAAAATAGTTTTTTCACCAAAATATCTTTACCACTATGCATTTACTATAATGAATGAGTGTTGAGTTAAAAGAAGCATCATTGACCAAAGTAGGTTGCCAGTTTCTAATATAATTAGCAGTGATGTGATGTTGGAAGTTGCATTGAATGGACATACACAACGCATACATTCACAGAAAACCAAAAGCTATACTTACCCAAATCCGAAATTCTGTATTGAGATTACATAACACACTGCCAGCAAAACCAACACATGGAGGAAGGAAAAGGGACACCATCCAGCACACATAATAATGACAAAGCAAGTGAATGCAGCACACAGTTGTACACTCTGTATAACTATCCATTGTATCTAATTGTCACTGGCCAGTCCTATGTATTCTTCTCTCTTTTTCTCTGTTTCTGTGCATTTGTATTGACCTTTGCATTGACGTGTTGCAGTGTTCTCTGCCCTGAAGGATGTGTGTATTGTTTAGTCAGGCCTCACTGATCTGTTTTTAATTGAATGGTCGTATCTCTAGACTTAGAGCACAATGGTGTGAACTGTAATCGGCAATTTGGAGGAAGAATGTTTGTATATACTCGGTTTTATTTATAGTTTACTCTTTCATTCATCCTTCACCTCACTGCTCGCTCTCTCTCTCATTCTGTTTTTTGGTTGTAAGTATGTGGCTTGTTTGTTTTGATATTTTTTTGTTACACTTACGTGCATGAAAGAGGTAAAATGCCACAAAAAAAACTACAAAGAAAAATCCAAATAAATCATCACCTTGTATATGTAAAATATGCAAATACATGAAATGAATTATAATACAGCACACTGGTGAGGGAAGACGTTTATTTTACAGCATTGTAGCCTTGAACATCTTTTTATTTCACACCTTTCTCCTCCCCTCGCCACTTTGCACTTCCTGAGTGGCCTCTCTGCCTCTCCCCTCTCCCTCCTCCTCCACTTTTCCAGCTTTTGTTCTCCTGTGCTATTTAATCTTTGCCATCTACCCTGTCTTTCTCACACCCGAAGAAGGCTCCACAGCCGAAACATTGTTTCCTTTCTTTTCTTTTCAGCATGGAATAAACCTGTTACCTGTTACTTTTTATTTCTACTACTATTTCAGTTGGGAAAATAAAATACAGTTAGAAGCATACTAAGTGCTAAATCCAGAATTTCCATGAACTTTTTGACTGTTTGCCAGTTCCTTTTCTGCTGCCTATTGTTATTGTTGCCATGTACTGTATCTGACCTGTCTTGGTTTGTTGCCATAATTTTTTTACTCTTATCATTGGTTTTCATTGGTTATAATAATGTCACAAAGACCTTTTATAAAGCAATCTCAGCCTATTCTGAAACTTCAGATTATGAGTACATGGAGACTTGTTAAAAATGATAGAAACTGATGCATAAATTAGTTTTCTGTATTGTTTGTTTTATTTCAGGTGTGTTCTGAAGATGGATCACCATTGTCCTTGGTAGGTAATCACTAAGCATATTGTTATAAAATAAATGCTGAATATTAATGGATATATGCCATGAGGACATTTGCATTTTTCCATCTTTTCAGTTTCTTTATATGACTTTCATATAAAGTGCATTTACCCCTCAACATTTATATATGATCAAATCTATGATAAAAGGTTATTTTAAAAACAGTTACTGTACTGTATCATTCCAGAAGGATTTAGAGGCAATCACTAAATAATTTTGAAGGAGCTGGACAATTAAACTGTGACCAATTAATCAAGTAATTTGTTAAATTAAGTAGTTTAGAGATCATCTGTTATATAACATTTCAATACCCACTAACCCTAAAGGACTAGAGTTGCATTACTGAGCAAATTGATTTACACAGTTGATCAATAACTTTCAGTGCTGCATTAAAAATGCAATTTAGGGTGAGCTATAAGATTGGAGATCCCAAATCTGAACTGTTGAGTAGCCTTGGGTAGAGTTCCCAAGATGAATTTACAGAAGCATCTCATCAGGCCAGAAGCAGGGAGCCTGTTTTTAGCAGCAGCTACTGATGTTTAATTTATGTCTGAACAACTACAGTACATTGTGTATACAATCAGTGGCTGTAGCTGTTCAAGACCTCTCAGCATTGCAGTATTTGCACATCATCTTGAAATGACCAAGGCAAGGGTCACACATTGTTCTCTCTAGTTTGATGACCAAGAAATTTACTAGGCCTTTTGGTCCATCAGTTCTGTGATGAGCATCTGATTGTCACAGTCACAAATGCAAGCTGAACCATGATGATGTAGCAGCCCACTACAGAAACAGTTTAAAAGTACTCGAATGTGATTGGGTGAAGATACTTCAATGTAAACCCTGAGGATATAGCATATATTAAAACTGAAACAGAAAGAGACCATTTGCCCTAACATGCTTACTTCTAGTTGCTTGCTGATCTGATGGCATCATCCTTCTTTTTTATTAAAAGCACCCAAAAAGCTGGCATCAACTGTAGGCCATGGTGGCTTGTTTCTGACACCAAACACTCTTTGTGTAAAGAATGTCCCCTACTTTCTGTTTGGTTATTTATTTGAAGCCTCCTTTTAACCTGCTAATAAATAAAAAAAGTTCAGGACTAAACTTTAGAACAAGACCAAAGATGTTCAATTAATGCTGATGTCCGTGAAATGGTTTTAAAACCAGTAATTATTTTAGTTCCTTCTTTTTAAACTTTTTCCAGGGCAGAAGTGACATGGTGTTATAGCAGCATAGTAAATTGTCTTTACATAGAGATCAGTTAGTAATTTATAAGTTCAAATTTTTGCAATTCATTTGCAGATTTGGGGTCAATCTAAGAACGTAAAAAGGTTGCAAATGTGAGGAGGCGTTCTGGATCTCTTACAGTTTTTCTTTTGCTGATTAAGTGCAAATAGATTTGCAGAAGCAGTTTATAATTCAGCCCTACGCTGCTGCTGTGGTTCACATAAATTCTAAATTTATCAAAACATAAAGGTATAAATGAATTGTATTTAAACAGGTATGTGAATTACAGGGTATTATCACAGTGTGCCATGACCTGATTGCAGCAATGAATGCCTTTAAATTATCATTGTAATTTCTCACAAACTATACAGTTGTATTTGATCCCATGATAAGTTTTAACACATTCCTGACATTTATTAGATAAGCATATTTGTTGCCAAGATTTCTAATTGTAAACATTTTTCTTTAGCTTTTTTTTTCTTCTTCAAAATACTGTATATATATATACACCCTGTCATGGTAACAACACATTGTTGTGTTTTACTGAAAAAAAGTGTTTCAAAATTATTTTTCAGGGTGAACAACTGCATTGGATTTTCAAACTACAAATTTTTTCTGCTGTTTCTGTCTTATTCCATGCTGTATTGCGTCTTTATCGCTGCAACAGTTTTTCAGTATTTCATCAAGTTTTGGGAAGTAAGTAAGACACCCCATTCATTTTTCCTATCTTGATGAGAAAAATAGTTAACTCTGTCATTGGGGAAAAGGGTACCTATTGTGTTTACAGTAAACCTGTTCTGTGTACACTTTAATTTGTCGTGATTTATAGCTTTGTGACATTTATTGTCTTTTGTCTGATAACATAAACCTGTTGCCTTGGTCTTATCCTTTTTTCAATCGTACTGTATGTATTTTGTATATTATTCAAACTTTAATTCAACAAATTGTACTGTATGTACTGCCATATGACATAAACATACATGAAAATCAACTTTTATATCTGAAAGTAATAGTATTGCCAGGTGTCTTTTCATTTCAAGGTTTTTATTACAGTGGGTCAAAGAACAGCAGTGAAGATATGCAGCAAAAGATATGGGGTCAGTAGAAAATGGAGCAGACACAGACACTAATAAAAACCTGACGAGAAAGATTTTGAGTCTAGATTTAAATGCACTCTGGGTACTCTCTGATGTCCTTGGGGATAGACTTCCAGAGCTCTTGGGCGTAGCAGGAGAAGGCCCTGACACCCATAGAATGGAAATGAGCTTGAAAGACCTATAGAAGAGCAGAATCAGAAAAACGAGGGTTGTGAGGTTGGAAATAGTCAGACAAGTACTGAGGTGTCAAGCCATGTAATGCTTTATATGTGAGCAAGAAGGTTTTGAAATCAACTTGAAACCTGATAGGAAGCTTGTGCAAGGGCTCCACGCCAGGCGTAATGTGATTGCTTGCACACAACCTGGTCAGGATTCTTGGAGCTTATTGGAGTTTGTGGATTTGGATACCCCAGTGAGCAGGGCATTGCAGTAATTTTTTATAGAAAAGACAAATAGGTTGACCGGCTTTTCTTCCACAGTGAAAGACATCATAGGACATAGTATGATAATATTTCTGAGATGGAAGAATAATGTTCATACAATATTCTGCACACAATGGTCAAAAGTCAAGCCAGGAGCAAATATCACTGCTAAATTCTTCAATTATGTTTAAAATTCAAGGACAGTGCCATCCACAGATAGGGTTACTGCATTTGCTTAATGTAGGTGTACAGTAGGTTCCAAGAAGAAGGCCTTACTCTTGTCACAGTTTAAGTAAAGGAAATTTGGAACCATCTAGGTTTTTATATCAAAGATACAATTAGAGAGTACAGAGTGCTTTTTTAGTGTCAGGTTTAGTATGGTATAGGACTTTACAGTCAGTTGACTTGTCCTGCATTGATCAGATGCATATCTTGTCAATTAGTATTGCTGCTGTAGTCTACTTATTGTGGACTGATCTATGCATAGTGCATAACGTGGAGATGTTGACATTGTGATGCTCCTGCAATAAAAAAGATTCCTAGAGCATGTTTTAATATTCCTTAATGCTGCAATATGATTAAAAGGGGGTAATCCCATTTGCTTTTGTTTGCCCACATCTTCTTAGCACATGTAAGCTCATGAGTGCACATGCTGTCAAACCTTTTGTCATGAACATTTGTATGAACATATGAGCAACCTCTTGTATCTTCACCCTGGAACAGAAAAATCCTATTAATCTATAACTAGAATAAACGTTTATTTTTCTCCTAATAGCTATTTATTTTTATATAAGAAGCACACTTGACACAGGCCCTTATTGTTATGTAAATAATATTTGGTTTAATTGGGTTTTATCTTCAGATTCCTAAGTTTGTTCTTGCACTAAAAATTCTGTGCACCAGTCCCTAATTCTGAGTGTCTGAGGTGGTCAGGTGGGGAAAGAAACTTATTTTTGTCTCATAAAACATATTTTCCAGTACTTCTGAAGGATCTCCAACTTATTTTAGTGGTAGTATAATGATAAGTGGTACAGTGATACCTTTTACAGCGATAAGTGGTGGTACAGTGATAATATCTTGAGACATTGAAATGAAATTTGCCATTTTTGCTGTGTATAAATGAAATTTGTATTTTGATGAATATGTTGCAAAGACACAGAATTTTGTGTTTTATTTCTGGATATTATTTTGCATACCTGTTTAGCCATGTTAGCATGATGCCATATGTTGTGTTCAATCCCCCCATTTCAGGTGAGCATAAGACAAATAGCTGACAGGTTTTTGTAACTGCTCCTGTGTTCCATGTTGTATTAATTCTGAAAAGGTAAAAGAGCTGCGAATACACAGCCTTGGTTCCAGACTTCTGAGTTTACTCTTTGGGTCTTCCTCTTGAGTTAAAAGGTATAAACCAAGATGTAGACCAGTGAGATGTCTGTGACGGAGAAGCAAGGAGTTGTGAAAATGAGAGCAAAGCAAATTTCAATTAGAACCATTGAAGAGAGGTCAGGCATTGCAAAATCAACAAAGAAACCACTGGAGGAGTAAAAAAACATGTTGTCCAAGCAAGATGACAGCAGTTGATGACAGAAAAAGCATTAAACTGTGAAGAAAAACCTTAAAATTACAGCCAAAGAGATTGCAGACAATCTCCAGAGTGCAGAGGTGAAAGTATCTCAATTTATTGTGCACAAAATACTTCAGTAGGAGAAATTACAAGGGCTACACTGCAAGATGAAAACTTCTCATCAGCATTAAAACAGAAGGGCCAGCCTAGATTTGGTGAAGAAGTACAAAGATGAGCCACGACAGTTCTGGAACAAAGTATTATGGACATAAGAGACAAAGGTAAACGTTTATCAAAGGGATGGAAAGGGTGGAGAAAGAGAGGAATTGTGGTAGTGTGATCCTCAACACACCATCTCATATGTTAACTATGGTGGAGGCAGTGTCATGGTTTGGGCATGCATTGGCTGCCTCTGAAACTGGCTCTCTGGTCTTTATTGATGATGTAACTGATGACAGCAGCAGCAGAATTAATTCTGAAGTGTACAGAAACATCTCTTCTGCCACATTTGGTTGCAATTTGTCCTGCTGCAAAGACATTGACCGAAAACATACTGCTTACTTAACCAAGGAGTTTTTCAGGGAGAACAAGTGGAACCTTTTTGAAATGGATAAGTCACTCTCCTGATTTCAGTCCTATGGAGAATGCATTTTACTTGTTGAATATGAAACTAAAGTCGGAAAAACCGACAACAGGAACAAATAAAAGTGACTCCACTTATGGTTTGGCAAAACATCTCAAAGGACTATAATTATATATAAGAATACTGTGATAGTGATGTCAATGGGTTGCAGACTTGAAACAGTCATTGCGTGTAATAAGTGGTATGTAACCAAATACTAACTTTACACTAGCTTATTTTGCTTTAATTTGTCCTAGTGTTTATTCTGACCTGAAACTGCAGTGGATTTATCACACTAACATGGCTGAACATGTTTGCACAGAAATATCCAGAAATAATCTGACATTCTGTACCTTGCACCCATTTATCTTTTGATCTTAAATACAAGTTTCAGTAGTACACAGCAAAAATGACATTTCACTTCACTGTCCCAAAAGCTCTCTGATTTTCACTGAATGTCCTTTCTTGTTCATTTTGAAGAGATTACCAGTATTCCAATTAAAACCGACCACTTGAATGATGTAGTAGATTCTGTAACCAAAATGGAGAATTTTTAATCTTTTGCTATTATGACTCTGTGAAAAGAGTGACATTTTGCCTTTCTCATTCTTGATGTGCTCTACAAAAGAAATTGTCCTGCTGCTGAGTGGTGCCAGGCCAGGCACATACCTTAATGGTTTCTGAGATTTTGTGTTTAACTTTTCAACAGGGTGAGCTTAGCAACGGCCCTGCCAAGTTCCATGTGCTGTTCCTGATGTTCGTTGCACTCATGTTTTTCGTCAGTCTCATGTTTCTGTTCAGCTACCATTGCTGGCTGGTGGCTAAAAACAGATCCACTCTAGGTAAGAACGTGCTGCATTTCTCTCTTCTCATCTTCAGATGCGTCACATCTGGGAATGTGTACAGAATGGGAGTGTTATTTGTATTTCCCAGTGTTTCTTCTTTAAATAATTTCTGCAGACAGGAATGGCGTGATACAGAGAAATACTTGTTTTAAAGGTTAGAATTCCAAGGGAGACCTGACTTTCCTCTTTCCTTCCGTTCACCCAAGTTTTTTAATAGCAGTCACTAATAATGACTAGTCTTGCCGACAAGTTCTATTTCTCTGTGTATTGTTACAGGGTAACTGATGTATTACCTTGCTTTAATTGTTGGGGACAGAAAGGTTGTTAAAAAAAGAATCAAGCTTTGTATGTACAGTATATTAAAAAGGAGATTTAGCTCCAGTCAGTTTTTTTTATATGGTCTGTATGGGTCCTTGATTGGTATCTTTACACTTTTGTGGACTGGAAGGTGCTGCTGCATAATGCTTCTGTGTGTTTTACTGGCTTCTACATTAGCCAGAATATTGTCTGCTTAATCAGCTGTGATAAATAGAACTTGTGTATTCACGATCTAGGAGACTAAATGATCTTGTGATCTTCAAACTAATATATTCACCATTCTGGCATGCTTTAGTCTTGCTGAAGTCTTACACTATCTTAATCACAACTTAAGCCAGATCATGGGAGGTGGATCAAGAATGAATAGTATTACATTAATATTATGAGGAAAGCAGAGCACTGTGGGTAGGTTTCTGGACCTTGAGTGAGGTACTTATCCCAGTAGCCCCAGTCCACCCAGCTTTGTTAGTGAGGATCATCATTGCTGAGGGTAATCCAGGAGCAAAGTCATGTAGATGTGGACTCAGAGTCAGGAGACTCTCTAGTCTGTTTAACACTAAAGAAACCAGGATGAGCTCTGGCCTGATGAGGTGGTTCTGAAAAGGACATTTATATTATACTGTCATGCTTTCATATATTATATTATGTATTCTAACTATTGTTTTTAGGAATAAACTGGTCTAATAAAAAAAATGGAAAGACCAGTCATCTGCAAATGCACAACATCTCAAAAACAACCCAAATTTCTTTGTCATAAATACACAAATGCTAGGTACCATACACTATCTTTTGGTTCTGTCCCTGGTACATTTTTGCAAATCAGAATCACTAATCCAGTATGTTTCTCATTGGTTGTAAGGGATTTTAAACATCTGAATAAAAAAATAACATTTGTAGCAGTATTGTGAAAGGTGAGCTATATAAAGTGAAAACATTGTTAAATAAAACTTCTTATTTTTATTTAACCAAAGAGGCATTCTCTGCCCCGGTGTTTCAAAATGGACCTGATAAGGACGGCTTCAATGCTGGCTTTCGAAAAAATCTCCAGCAAGTGTTTGGAGAAGAAAAGAAATACTGGCTCATACCTGTGTTTACCAGGTGAGTTGTGGATTGGGTGTTGTAGGAAAAATTGTTAGCTGAGTATTGGTGAAATTACAGGAGGTGGTATACCACTGTCTGAACACCATCTGGGTTTGCCAGATTCCCAATTATCCAATGATTCCTGTGCTTGCCACTAATTAGTCAACCTGGAGTGAGACTTGCTAGACTCCTGTAATCTTCTGGGTAGTCAATGAAGGGCCTGACATTCCTCCAGTTATTGCTGACTGTTTACACAGTGAGAAAGTTGGAAAAAGATGTTATATTTCTGGAGGGGAACAAACCAAGTCCTTGTTCTCTCATTACTGCACAGGAAGCTCAGTTGATTAGCCCATTCCAAATTGTGAGGAGAGTGTTACATAAAAGAATAATATCCTTTCCAAATTGGAAAGGGAAATCAAATGAAAAAGGTGACATAGTGGTGCCCTGGTTAGCATTGCTACCTTGCAGAAATGGAGCCTTGGGATCTATTCCTGAGGTGCTACTGTATCTGTGTGGAGTTTCTTTGTTCTCTCCATGTTCACTTGGGTTTCCTCTGGGTGCTCTGGTTTCCTCCCACAGTCCAAAGACTTGCTGGTTGGTTAATTGGCTTCTGTAGAAACTGGCACTGTGTGGATGTGTGACTGTGTTTGGTATATCTTGCTTTCTAGCTCCCTACTGGATACAGGAAAAACAGGTATAGAAGATGGATTTATGATGTTTAATAAAATAAAGAACACAGGAATGATGAACAAGAATAGGCCAGTTAGCCTTTCATACTTGTTGAGCAAGAATCTCATTTTGTCATTTCCGGAAGGAGACCAAAAAATGAGCCTCAGCTACATGGCTAATGTGTGTTTTTAAAAAACAAACAAACATGAGCTCTCCTTATTCAAGCCTAAAAGTACCTATCCACTGAATAGCCACTGGTGTCCGTGGCCGTTGTTAAACTGTTTTTGTTTGACTTTATTAGTACATCCAGGGCATTAAGAGCCTACGGGATTTGGCATCGATTTATATCATTTCTTTGAAGAAAGGAATAAAAATATAAAAGGGGAGAAACTACAGCACCCAAAAAAACTTTCTAACCTGGCGAGAACGTGTGATCTCCACACCGAAGATGGCTCACAAATACACAAATGTATGACTTTTGTCACACATTCATTTGGTTCTAATGTTCAGAATAGTACGTGCTTGTTTGTACTGTAGATGTAATTTTCTGCATTTTAACAACCTCCTGTTTTTTCCTCTGTGACTCAAGCCTTGGTGATGGCCATTTCTTCCCCATGCGGTGCTTGAACGAATCTCAGAATCCTCTATTAGCTAATGAAGAACAGTGGGAGGAGGAGGGATCAGATGAAGAGAGCTCGGGTAAGCTGAGACATTTGACAAGTGGAAATAGGGAAAAGTCATTAAAATAATAAGATGGTCCACAGTTACATGTGCCGAGCGTGAGGTAATTAATTTAAATGACCATTGGGAGTGATGCCGAAGTACTTCAGCAAAGCAAAGAAGCAAATTATCAGGAAGGATCAGATACCTGGCAAATGATCATACACCTGTGATTGAAAGGCCTATACATTTCATGGAGCAACAGAGCAGATGAGAAGATTCCAATAACCTGCATTTGCTGAGGAATAGCCTTCCACATCTACAGTTACAAGGAGATCTTTTACAGATCATGTAAATGATAGAAATAATCCACAGCAATTTGAGCCATTTCAGGTTTTGTCAGTTACACCTCTCTTGTGTAAATCGTATTCGGGGTGCTGGACGTTTCACATTTGTAAAGAGAACAAGCCTATCTCTGCAGGCAGTGTTGAAAATATGTAAACCTGCATGATCTGTACAGTTTATCAACCTATAATACTCAAGATGGATCAAGGTATTATAGGTTAAACTCTGTAGTGATCCCCTAATGAATATCTCCCATTCATTCCCTTAATTTCTGATTAAGTATAATTTATTTTCCTTTCTGATGAAACTCCAGTTGTTTCTTGTAAGAGATTGTTTCTGCTTGATGAATGATCAGCAGTCTGTGATGAGTGAACTTGAACCTCACTATAGAAATGTAATATTGCTTGGCAATGTTAAATTCTTGACGTTTAGGACTGGATTTCCATAACAGGCATTTCTAAACCACCTTTTTTATCAAATTAAACCACACTAAGGTTATTAAGCAAGTATCACATTAATTTTCAGAATATCCCTAAATGTGGAAGTTGCTGCATTAGGTCTAAATTACATTAAAATGTTTTTGATGAGTATTTGGAAGTTGATGAGATACCAGAACAGAGATTATGTAGTGTTTTACCTCCCAAGCTGTGCACTAAATATGAATACTTACTCATCTTTTTCAAATATGTTAAATGTTCTTTACATTTATCCTAATGAGATACAGAAGAAATAATCTAGGAAACATTTAACTGAGGAATATATAACGTTGTTCACAGCACCATGGTGTAGAACTTTGTCACCACTCAGTGGAAAAATCATGCATTACGGTTTTGGAAAATAATTTGTATATGCACCGGAATCACTGGTAAAGTTTTGATTAATCATTTTATCATTTCAACAATATCCATATGTTTTAATTTCTTGAATTTTCCATTAATGTGTCTTGTTTGTATTTCAGCACTTCGGAGAGAGTGTTCAGTCACCATAGAATTGGAGTCATAGCAAACCTTTGTAGGGGCATTATATCTAAAGACTGGTGAGTTTATTTGCCTTCCTTTGTAAAATAAGCAGGAATTGAAGTTTGGAAAGCAGTATATCAGGGAAGCCTATAAGACACACGTTTCACAGCATTTTAATCCATTCCAGGTTTTAAGAGCAATTATGTGCATGAACACCATGTTCGAAGGATATTTGAAACTATTTCTGAAGTTGATGCAGTATGAAGTGTTCTGCTCATGGAACCTTAAATGACCCTAACTGATATGATGCTGGCTGTCAAAATCCTATTTTAATGCTACACTACAGTGTGCAGTATTGATGAAACATTGCTATATTTAAATGTGTCTGTAAGGGATAAAAAATATATGCAAAAATAAGAAAATACAAGGAAATATGCATTTTTTGAAATTATATATAAATATTTCAGACACCTGATATACATTTTCGCACACATAGAGTTTAATATCCCTAAACTACTCCATTTTGACCAGTGACTGACCCAGATATTTTGTTGATTTCTACTGAAAGGGTGATGCCATTTATTTTAGTCATCTTTTGGGTATTATATTTATTAAACATTCCATTGCCTTTCTGTATATTTAGTTTAGATCAATTTTGATATAGTTCATGAAAGTGTGATTGCAATTTGTCTAGATGGAGTCCAGTTCAGTTCCTGGGGTGCTATCTGTGTGGAGTTTGTATGTTCTCCCCATGTTCATGTGGGGTTCCTCTGGGTGCTCTGTTTTTTTTCCCTCACAGTCCAGTCACATACTGGTCAGTTCATTGGCTTTTGGGAAAACACAGGCCCTGATATCTGCTGTTACCCTGTGATAGATTAGTGTCGGGTCCAGGGTGTATCCTGCCTTGTGCCAATTGCTTGTCGAGATCAGCACCCTCCGGCTCTCCTTGAATTTGATGCATTTAGAAAATGAATGGATGGATTCCTTAAAAAGGCCTCGGCTGTTCGTAGTTAAGGTTGCTCTGTAGTTGTCTTAGATGATGACCAGTGGAATTTCCTTAACACACGCGGCAGCTGCTGATATTAACTTTTCATATTTTTCAACAACTACAGGAATTGCATCTTAAAGATCAGGACCCCCTAGAAAGAAGAGGAGTGAAAGGTGTGCTGCTCTTTGCACTTAGTGGCAAGCCGATGCATCTCAGCTACTGAAGAGTTATGAAACACAGGATGAAAAATATCCAAAATGAACGAGCTAAGGCTTGAAGAAGTGGTGAAATGGAAGAACCGAGATGTTTGGTTTTAATCCACATTTGTCGTATTTATACATTTTAAGTATTAAAAGTGGGAACATAAATGCTCACTCTTGACCAGTGGACACTCTGAAATGTGGGCATGTTTGCTGCAACCTGGATTAGCCACAGAATTACAGAGACTCGCCGTACAGCATGTGGTGACAGGGGGATAATAGGAGACCAATTTTATGATACTGTGCATTTAAACTCATAGTCTTAAATCTTAAAACTGTCTTTCTTTCTCACCTGTTAGAATTGAACATGTGTTTTGAAGTTTTTAAAGTCTGGTTCCTGTATTTTGCAAAAATGTAGCTTAGTAAATTGGTTGTACAGTCCCTCATCGGTTCCGAGTCCTGAGTTAGCCCATTATGTGAAAAGTAAGGGAAAATGAATGCATCAGGGACATGGGCGATTTATTTTTTCTTCTTTCTGTCTTGTTAACCATGGCTATCTATTATTGGGGGAAATTTCAGTTAGATAATATTGAGTGGGATTAATTTATTTAAAAAAATAATCAGGATAACTATGCCACATATTCTTTTATTGTTGGTGTGTAAAACGTTTTAATGCCATACAGTTTCTAAATTAGAAATCCTGTGTGGTCAAAGCAGATCGGTTTAAGAATCTGCAATTATCATTCCTTCTTAAATAATACCTTGCCTTTCTATGTTCTTTTTTATTTAGAAACTAGCCTCGAGACCATTCTTTCTCATTTAAAAACATAAACACTCTGCTACTTAGAAAAAGGGGTGGCGCGGTTGTTAGTATTGCTGCCTTGCAGGGGCTGGGACCATGGTTTGAACTCCAGACGTGGGTTACTATCCGTGTGGAGTTTGTATGTTCTTCCCATGTTTGCATGGGTTTTCCCAGGGTGCTCCACTTTCCTTCCACAGTCCAAAAACATATTGGTTGTTTTATTACTTTCTAGGAAATGTGGCCCTGGTGTATTTGTGTCTGTGTTTGCCCTGTGATGGACTGGTGTCCCATCCAGGGAGTTTTCCACCTTGTGCTTGTTGCTGGCTGGCTCTTTCATGACCCTGAATTGGATGAAGCATTTATCAAATGGATGGATGGTTAAAAAAAATGGCCAGATCTGCTTTTCACTTCACATCCCCAGTCACTTACCAGTTTGTCATTAACAATCCCTTAAATGTGCAATATAATTTAAGATCAAATTGATCACTAATCCTTGAGACCATTCAACTCACATTTCAGTCCTTCAGTGGGGAAAAATGTGTAGCCATTTTTGAAATATGTCTGACAATATGATTTTCAACAGGACAGATGTATATAGTGTACAATAATCAAAACTATGGTATTTTAAATATTTGTGGTTCTATCCTTTAATTAGAGGGGAATTAATAGGTTTTGCCAAATTGGAGTATACTGAAGTCACTATTAGTGTTAATATATTTTAAAGGGGAGGTATATTGGTGTAAATAGACAATGATTTTAGAGAATGCTTCTGGTGTACTTCTGGGTTTATGCTGTTCCTTTCTCAATTCTGCTCCCACTTGCATGAATATTAGTTAAAACTACTCAATATTGAAAACTCAACCAGAGTATTGTAAGTGTACAGTGGACACAGTCTTGTTTAAATCCATCTAGAGAGTTACATTATCTTGACCACTGCAAAGGGTTCAGAATAACATGAATTCTGAGAAATATTCTTAAAGTTGAAGTTTGGTGATGAAGGTAATTGAACACATTAACCACAAATGTCCTTTTTCTGGAAATGAATATTTTCTGAATGAAAATTGTGTGGTCATACACATTCATATTTGACAAAAAACTATTCTGGTACTCACTAAAAAATGAACAGCAGATGACTAATTTTAGTCATGGCATGCGTGTTAGTACTGCACAGTTAGGGCAGTGTTTAGATGTGTTGATTTAATTTTTGGATGGGTAGTTTCCATTTAGTTCATACGAGAAGCAGGGCCAAGGACTCCAGTGTGAAAATAAATTACGATGTAATCCTGAACACAATAATTGGACTCGTTTATGCTAAAGTGAAAAGGTGTGTTGCTCACATCACAAGTGTGAGAGATAGTGAAATAAGTTCATAGCTGTATGTAAGCTGTGTGCTGCTGGAATGAGCTGGTTTCACTCGTTGATTTGCCATGCACTGACATAAAGATCGCTGGCCATTCACCAGGTTCCGCTTGGTTTTCCATGCAACAGCTTCCCCTGCCACATGCCTGCAGGGTTGCCTTAATGTCCCCCAGTCTTTGTTAAATCTCCTGTCAATCACTGAGGAGCTTGTGACAAGCCAAAACGCAAATGGCTCCATCTGGTGGGCATCATCACTGGCAGGCATCACACAAAGGATATATACTGTACTGTAATTATAAAATGATTAGCTGTTCCAAATATTTTTAAAAAATACAGTTGCAAGATTAGCGATCATCAGATATATTAAGAAATATTACTGTTAGGTTTATGAGCTGTCAAAGTCTTGGAATCTCACTTGTTAGGGGACCATTTTCTGTGAGATATCTGCTGGAAAGAAAGCATTCTGTATTATTGCCGAGAGAATGAATATGTGAGGAGGTAGTAAAATAACCGCAGCCTCTAATCTCATTCCAGTTTAGATTTATGAAGCCAATATCCTTTGAACTTAAAATAAATGGAGAAGAGCAAGAAGGAACTGAAAAAAAACTGTAGGCATTTTATCTATCTTGTTCTTTTAACATCGTTAAGTTATTGTAAATGCAAACACTGCAGGGATCTTTCATTTTGCTTTGCTCACTGTTTTTGAAAATAAAAATAATAAAAAAAGAATTTCATGTTACGTGCTCAGGAAATGACACCTCCCAAATGTTCTCCTGGCCCTTTTGTTACACATTTGAGACACAAATCCACCATACAGTGAAAAAAAATGGAATTAAATGTGCTTACCAAAATGAAATGACAAGAAATGTCAGCAAAGCCCAAAAGAGACAGGGAATTACTAAGGCAGGAAAGATAACCTGAATTCTGATAAAACATTCCAGGACACACTCAGAGGTAGAAGGTAGTGGTAGAATAACAGTATATATTTGTATGCTTTTCTACTGGTTTCACAGCAAACATATTTCATATGTCAGAGCTAGATACAGTATAGCAAAAATGAGAATCCTGCATTGAAATGTAAACATTCAATATACCTTTTGTTTCTAGACATGGAAAAAGTCGGTTAAGGTGGTTGAAATATGTGTCACTGTCTGTTGCAGAGCTTGGCTCTGCATCACTAGGCTCATTTATTCACTCTTGCAAGAGAAATGCTTTTTGTTACATGTAGTATTGGAGTGATTGGCGGCTCTTTTGCTTGATTTGTGACCCAGGGATTGAGTCCTTGTATTGAAGCTTTCCCAGATTATTATTCTCACTGTATGATTACAAACTACTGCCAAATTGCAATACACTGTTATTGTGTCATAATGTAGGGACAGTATTATGACATGCACTATGAGGATGTAAATGTTTCAGCTTTTATAGAAGGTTGCCTTTCTTATGTCATTTGGTTTTCCCTTTTCACTGTGGTCAAACAAAGAATTATGACTGTGTCATTCTGTGAAGAATTGTTTCCCATTTTACTTCTGGTGACGAAAGCAGTTGTTACACGAAGACCACTATTCTGACTGGGGATGTGTTAATTAAGAAACATGACAATATCTAGGCTTTTATGACTGAAAAGCAAGCTAGAAATGTATACCCAGTAGTATATACCAAATCATGTACTACTGATTTGAAAATGGCTTTAGAACTTAAATCAGATATTCATCTGACTGGAACTCAAAAGTATTCAAGTAATGGACACTATAAGAAATTGTATGTGCGGTGCATGTACTGTATGAAAAGCTTGATATGATGTTTATGTGGTGATTTGGCAAGTATTCAAGCATCTTTCATTTGGTCTAAAAATATATTTTAAAATAGATTAATTTGTGATTGTATGACATAAGTCTAGCACTTTACCATTCCATATGTTTCCTAAAGTTGAAACTATTGTAGGGGTTATTTGAGTTTATACCAGTATACTGCCTTTTGTATCTAAATAACTTCCAAAAAAAATGTTCTAGCGGTGTCTGTCAGTTTCCAGTTTAATAAACCACTGTATTTTACAAAGCACATGATTACTTAAATGGTGTGGAATGCTGACAGATTTCTAGGGACCGGTGGAACTAAGACAGTACAAAAATAATCAACATCACTGAAAAGCTTGTCTCCAATAAGAAAACAGTAAGCAATTTCAACTCACTCTCCAATAAGCAATTTCAATTCACTTGATAATTGAACCAGATTGACTCATATTATGTAACCAACAACTAATACAGAATAAAAGTGATAGTGACTTTAACATTTGTTCAGTCTGCAAGTTCCTTTGTTTCCTCAGGATTTGTAGGATATAGTCTTTAAAACTGGGTTCATTAAAAATGTGCAATTTCTGGTAGGGGGAACTGTCTGTCTTAAAAAATAACTGTCAGGAAGAAGGCTGGACCTGAACTGAAGCCCTGTATTTGAGTAACAGGGTCATGACACAGAGGCTTCAATCTGTGTCCATGTGGCAAACCTATATTGTCCTGATTACCCAGAAAGGCACTGCACTTGTTTGCTTGCTTTAATGTCTTCTTTGTGAACTGTTGCATTTAGTATGTCAGCTTCCCTGTGCCTGAACCGACAAACTGCAACCTAAAATATTGAAAAGTGGTGTGGGTCATCACCAATGTGCAAGTGAATTCCAACTGTTCAATAGTAGTACAAAGGTAATTCACTGTGTGAATGGTGAAAACATTGTCCCTGCAGAGATCCTTCTTTTCTCCTAGTTTCTGTCTCAATTCCTCAATTGTTGGAGTTGCATCTTTGTATTTTAAATACATTTTTCTGTATTCAATTAATAGTCCTGTGTTAGAGTATCCTTAGGGCTTTGGTCTGTTGAATGTTTGAAAAAACAGATACTCCACTTGTTACTAAAAAACCTCTCACTAGTGTTACTGCACTACCTGCCAGTCTGGGAGCTCAGCCTTACTACTGTAGAGCATAATATATCACTTTTTACAACTGTCAACTCTACGTTTACCCTAAGTTTACCCAAGTATTTTAATAGATGACCAGTCAAATACAGTCATTTTTCGCATGCTGTTCTGTATGAATCTACTGTATTGTATGTAAACATCTGTTATTTGTTTGGGGGCTATGCAAGTGTGGTGTTCCTTCTACATGCTGTTTTACACTTTTTGAAACATGGGTATAAGAATAGCAAGATTTTTTTCTCTCCAAAGATTTAATGATGCAAGGCAAATCAAAATATAAATATTAATGTCTATGGAGGCTTTCCTACTGACTTCATAAACCAATATATCACATTTGTAATAAAATATTGAGAGTATTACTTAATAAAACATACGTACGGTGTTTTCTTAATGCATTGACTGGATTGTCTTTGTGGGCAAGGCTATATACATGTTCAGTATCTTACACTGAAATGCCACTTCTGAAAAGGTGGAAAAATACTTTGTCTCCCCACCTTTGGATAACTAATCACAATCCAGGTTCTGGAATTCTGGACTTTCATCCAGTGGAAACTTGTGTTCTCCTTCTACTGCTATCCTTTCATCACTTCTTAAACGTAGTTTTTAAAAGCATAAATGAGGAATTAATTTCAGCGTGACATTCATGATTGCTTCAGTGATCCTATTCGTAGTGATGTACAGTAGATACTTGAGCTTAGGAACACCCGAGGCCAGAAGTAAATGCCAGTTTATCTAGCATTTACTGAACTGAGAGTATGAAGCAGCCCTATATTTCTTTGCACTGGTCCCAGTAATGTCCACAGTGCCATTTATAACTTGACCATATATTAGTCAGTTTTTTTTACTATTAGATGTATTTAGATGGGTTTTGCATTTTTGATGGCAACTTTGGAAGAAATGGTCTTCCTTAAAATATTCTCTGTGCTATCCGTGCTTTGTAATTAATCCCAACAACATCCATACATAGAACGTGTTCATTACAGTTTTAATTCCATACAACAGCAAATGACACACAAATGAACTCACAACTGCTGTGTCCCCAATCGTATTCTAAAGGTTGCCTCTTATCATTATCAAATTAGTTCTTCCTACCAACTATCAATTCTTTATTTTGTACCAACTCTTCATTTTGTATGCCAGGATATCTTTGTACAAATAAAATGTTTTTGTTTTATTAAAGCCATGTTTCCTAGCAGAACATATAAACTTGCTCTGCTGTTGTCTTTGCCTGCATTAACACATAATAGCAATTAATCAAGATAAAATTATCTAGGAGCCCGTCAAAAGGAAACACCAAGAATGCAGCAGAGGTTATCTTTTGAAAGACAGTATAGTCTTCATGGCTGGCATGATTTTAAACTTTGTTTATTTAAACTTGGTTATGATAAGAGATTGAAGTAAAGTAGCGGAGAGCTATAAATAAACTTTTTAATCTGTCGCAATCAACTATATAAGACTACCGAAAGAAATAAATAAGATCAGAGCACACAGTATGCAGCAGTCCACCAAAGCACACCATTTCCTGAACACTTGTATGGAATGTGCTTATGAGAAATGCTTAACGTTGTTCCAGAGTAAATATGAGAGGGTAAGTCATAAAAAGCAAATCCAAGGAAATGCCAAATCAAGTTAAAAAAAACGAATTTAAAGAAAAAAAAAAAAAAAAAAAAAGAAAAGCAGACAGTCAACAGAGTTATAATGGCATGTGCATTTCTAGAAGGCATCACTTATTAATCTGTCCCAAAATATTTCTGTCCAAAATGCGTGGGAGCCACAGGGTGCACCTCAGTGGTGAGGATTGTGATGTCTGGAAACTCCTGGATGATTGACTTTGCACCTGTGCAACAGAAGATAAAAATGTTAACCTTGTGACCGTTTTGCTGGGTTACAACATAGAAGTGCTGTGCTTAGTGGCAGTGATAGGCTGTCTTTTGTTGGAAATTTAGATTTGATTATTTTTTTTGAAAATCCTCCATCCCAATCAGAATTTCTTAATCAGCACAGCTAACTGCAATAACTCTCATAGTCCCTCAGGACAGATAAATATGGTTTAGGTGTCAAATACAACGTATAACTTGGCACTCCGTCTGCCTCGGAACCAAGTGGAGAGCTACAGCCTCAATGACAGGACAGATGTACCACAAATATTAACAACAGCACAACTTTGCAGGTGTTGGAAAGAGCCAAGTGACCCAACTGGGGGCTGAAGCTTAAGACAACTGTGGTGCTAGCAGACAAGCCCAAACTCAGATTGGCACAGGCGTGGGTACAGGATGTACAGTGACAAATGCAGCTTGTAGTGGGATTCTATCCCGGCTTGTCGTAGGCTCCCAGCACAGACAGCCCCACTGCCTAGACAGCAGATAACTCACACCAAAACCCCGGGTCCTCTGCTGCAGGAGAGTTTCACACTGCCAAGACTTCAGAAGAGGGTGACATAACCTCCTCAGTGCACTGAGCCCTGCTACACAGGTACTTTTACTGGAGAAGCACATTGGCTGCAACTGTGGGCAGAGGTTTAAATAAAGCTCCTTCCATTTTTTTATACATCTGTAAGGAAGTGAGAGGTAACTTTGAGAGAAAACCACCTTTACTGGGAAAAAACTGGAATGAGCCACACCTGTTCTGATTGAATAATCAGCACTAAAAGGGAAGCAAATCCCACATGAGGGGAAGGAGCTGTCAGCTTAGGCTCTTTGCGGAGTCAGTTCACTAGGAGTCACATCTCACAGCTAATTAAGAGGCTTATATGACCAGTTAGGAGGAAATGGGTTTCAGTCTGGAAGGAGTAAGAGTGAGAGTTGCAGAGGAGAGTGTTGTTTAATGGGAATGAAATTCACAGCTATGGAGTAGAGTTGGCATGGCTGACTGAAGGCATTAGCACCTGGAGGAACAGGGCAGTGCTTGGCAAGGTAGCAGCGTATTTTCTCCCCGTAGATGAAAGAGATGAGATAGCACATGCTGAGTCCAGAGTACTCCTTGGGCCTTGCCATCAGCAGACAGACTGATAGTCTCAGAGTGTGAGAAGTGAGAGGGCGAACACAGCAAGCCAGCTGCAGCTGTGTCAGGAATACAAGTGTTGGTTACAGAAAGGCATCCCTGGCCAAACAGGATCAGACTGGATAGTTAGTTATGATAAGAGTTACAGGTTGTTAGTAAGATCTGGTGCTTAATGAGGCAGAAGAGCAAGAAATTGAGCTGGAGTGATTTTAATAACAATGATTTCCCGTCTGGGTGACATTTAGTGTCTACTTGAATATTCTAGTGCCCAATGGTGTTAGTGACTGGTGAAGCTGTTAGTGAGTAGTGACTGGTGTAGTGAAGATTAAGAATTGGGTGTGAATGGAGAAAATATGAATTCTCTCATGCCTGGTAATTAAAGAAGATGGGAAAGAGGTAGTGAGAAGACCAGAATAAGTGTAATGGGTCATGAGTTGGTTGTAAAAGATAGGAAAAACAAGCAGACAGATGAAATCTGTGCAGGTCACCCTGAGAGGGGAACACTAGGAGAGAAATAAAATCCAAGAGGGGGTCTGAAAGATGAAAGACCACTTAAACACAAAAACTAACGTAACAGACTGGGGGTATTGTAACTGTGGTGGCATTTGTGCAGGCATTGTCACATCATATTGTAATGCAACAAATTAAGTTCTTTTTGCTGTGAGCAGCCTTTAAACATACTGAGTCCCTGAAGATTTTATCATAAGCGTAGTGGGATTTCTATTGAAATGTTCTGGGGAGTAAAAGAAATCTTTAGAGAATATCAAAAACAAAACACCTATTAAATATACCTAAAAAGATTGTTTTGTGAAAAAATAGGGATACAAGATTTATGCCTAATTATAAAAAAAACAACTTTCAAGCAGATTCTTAGAGGACATTAAAAAGATTGGCAAAATCAGATCTATAGTTACGTACCATGAGGTGTAGAGAACAGACTGAGCAGTATGATGTGTTTAGGCTGCAGGCCATGCTCAATCAGTACTTTGACAGCCTCAATCACTGTGTTGCCTGTACCTGCAGTGGAGTGAAAGAAAACATAAAGTTTACAAATAAGATTTAGGCCATTTGGCCTGTCATACTCAGCTGATTGCTTAGTAATTCAAAGGCCACATATCTAGGTCTTTGATAACAATAAGGAAGAGATCCCAGCCTAGTACAGTTGTATTCCATCAGGCCTCTGTGATGTGACACCTTTTTTTGTCCTGTCCTTTTGCACACTTATGTTGCTGACCCATACTGATATATCATCTTGATACGGTATACTGCAGCTTTCATTTCAAGAACTTTGAACTTTGAATTTTATCGGAGGTCATCTGAAAATCTAAAAGAAACTTAATTGATATCCTTTACCTTTATGTCCTCCCAGTTTGGCTTTTAACATCCTCAGAATAAATATGCCAGCTAAATGACTGACATGCTAGCATTTACGTATACAGTATATATATATAAAAACTTATACAGTAGGGTTGTATAGCAGCATCTGGATTTAAGTAGCAAGTGCTGGTGATGGACAAAACAGTATACTGAAAACAAGGGCTCATATATACAAATGCAGTAGGGGTCATATATACAAATGCAGGACAGACCTGTTTGTCTATAATTAGGTAAGTATGTCTGCAAGAAGAGACCTCAGTGACATTCAAAGAGGGGATATTGGCAGGAGTTTCGGTGACCAAGACAGCTCAATCTACTGATGTTTCGTCAGTGATGTCAGCATGGAAATCCAAGGATAAGAATTTGTCAGCAAAAGGCAACAGTAGGCAGAACATTAGGCATACTGAAGAATAGTGATATATGTGCATGAATTCAAAGTGGAAGGTAAAATAGCTTACTAACTGAAAAAGTTCAATCTCTGGCATGAGCAGCCAGTTGCATCAGAACTGTCTTCTGAGGACTCCAGAACAGGATACCCTAGCTACAGTGGTTATATACACTGGTTACAGTGCACAAACCACTTTTCACACCTAGCAAAGCACATTTAGCAGTGTAGTGGTGCAAAGAGCACAGACAATGGATTACTGAACAGTGAAGAAATGTCATATGGTTATATGAATCATCCTTCACTGTGTTCTTGACACATGGATGAGTGCATATGTGGTGCCAATCCAAGGAGTTTTTCTGGTTCTAATGGTTCCGTTATGTTGTGGGGTCCATTTTCCTGGCATGGTTTAAATAACTAATTCTCTCTGAGGGCAAGGTCAGTGCTGGTCAGTCCTGCAGGGAGTGCGTCCCACCCACAAAGCACATGTGGTCACCCAGTGGTTTGTAGAGCATGGCTTTAATGTTACCCAAATGTCACAGCCTACTCAGTCACCAGATCAGAACTCAATCGAACACTTATGAGATATGCTTGAATGACGCCCGAGACAACATTTCCCCCCCTCCATCAACAAGGCATGAGGTGACTGACATTCTTGTGAAAGAAAGGTGACACATCCATCAATTTAGAATTCCAGACAATGGAAGACTCTCTGCCACAGCACTTACAGGCCATATCGGATACCTGTAGTGGCAATAGTAATAATTAATAATTGCTTACACTTATATAGTGCTTTTCTGGACACTCCACTCAAAGCGCTTCACAGGTAATGTGGACTCCCCTCCACCACCACCAATGTGCAGCATCCACCTGGATGATGCAACGGCAGCCATCGTGTGCCACAACGCTCAACACACATCAGCTATCATTGGAAATAAGAACAGAGTAACGAAGCCAATTCATAGATGGGGATTATTAGGAGGCCACGACTGGTAAGGGCTAATGGGAAATTTGGCCAGGACACCGGGGTAACACCCCTACTCTTTATCCGGGGATTTTTAATGATCACAGAGAGCCAGAACCTCGGTTTTACATCTCATCCTAAGGACGGCACCTGTTTACAGTATAGTGTCCCTGTCACTATACTGGGGCATTAGGACCCACACAGACGGTAGGGTGAACGCCCCCTACTGGCCCCACTATCCTGGTTCCAGCAACCTTAGTTTTTCCCAGGAGGTTTCGCATCCAGGTACTGACCAGGCTCACACCTGCTTAGCTTCAATGGGTTGCCAGTTGTGAGTTGCAGGCCATAGTAGCTTGGTGTTTCCTTTTTTTTTGTCCACTACCTGTAGCCAATAAAATCTTGTTTTATCTCTTATTTCTGGTCCAACGCAAAGTGAAGGAGAATAAAATTCTGTCAGATGCATCAGGGACCTTTTCAATTAAAATTACCCACTCCAATATGTAATTTATTTTACCACCACAAGGCAGGTAATTAATCATGATATTCTCCCAAGTCACTGACCCCGCCTGAACACTTCCAGCATTGAATTAAAAGTCAGATTTTCACCATTTACTTACCGTTTTTAAAAGCTACAGGGAAACAATCTCTGAGAAGAAATATCACACTGATACACATGTAAGTACTATTGTTCTGTTCATTGAATCATAAGAAAATTGTCTGTCAACTGCATGTTAAACTTTAGAATTAATATATTATATGACGTGTTACAGTATCTGCTACTCTTCTCTTATAATCAGATATATTTTGGAAATTCAGCATTTAATCAGCAAGACTGAGACTTAGAAACCGCATAAAGTCTCTGAGGAGAAAATTCAGTTCTTGTAGCAAATTTTTAAAATGGTTATTTGGTTAAGTTTAAAAGTAAACAAAATTCTTTTGGAAAAAAGAAAAACAGGTTATGGGCTAAAACACTAGAATAAAATTTTGCTGTTAGTGTTATTTTCCAAATGGCTTTTATTCAAATGTTATAGTCCAAATGTCCTTTATTTAAATATTCATCACCTTAATGGCCAACCAACATGATCTGTATAATTTCCCGAGATTGCTGTAATTATGTGCCTGACTTAATGATGCTGAAAGTCGTTAAATGAGCTGCTAAGGTCAATGTGATGAATCTAATGAAAATATACCTGGCTGTTCACACAGAGGAGGGAAAAGTGTCATGTGAAACCATGTACAAACATTTTATTCAATGGAAAATGTATGGAAAGTAATTTTTAACTGTTAATCTTCATGCGAATAAACAAGCCAGTGGTTAGTCTTTCATTACTTTGATAAAAAAGCAAGGTAACAAGGACAAAGAAGTCAAAACGTTGATCTCAGATGAGATCTGTCATTGCCAAACACCCTCATGATGCAAATCATCCTGATTAGCAGGGTTTTGACTTAGGTGATCACTGGACTACACCCATTTAAGTGGCTGTGCCTTTATTCCAGCAATCTGAATGAAGCTATAAGAGTATGAATCCCTTTTTCCACAAAGTGAGTCATATAGCCATAACAGTATTTGTACACTTAACAGCTTATACACAGTACATTCTGTACTTGACATTCATAACTCTTTTCCTTTTCTTAGGCATTTTAAGGGCTATTAACACTCAGAAAAACATGAAATGAAAGCAAAAGTTGGATCTTAAAGTAAACAGGACCAGGCTGCCCCAGAGCGAGCCCAAGTAGCCTTGAGCCACACCCCCTCTTGATAACCAATGAGTGAGCCCCAGTTCACTGCTCGTATATTTCAAGCACATTCGCTATTCATATGAAATTCTAATTACTTATAACAGGAATCAGTTCCTATGCTGTTTCTATGTCCAGATGGTCATATCTTGTATTCTAAAATCAGTGTCCCAATCCTTTGAGTGGAATCATGTCTCATATTGTCCCCTATTTGGGTCTGACAACTCCTATTACATTGTTCTGTCCCTTCTCACGTCCCTAACACAAGCTTATTCGCTCTCGCTAAACCTGTCTCCAGGGACACTCAAGATGGATCTTGTTGTACTCAAAGATGGCTATTACAATAGTAATTGCTATTTTCTTTCTGCTGGAATCATTAACAAATAAAATTCCCAAGTCACTTTTTACTCATTTTATGCTTGATAAGATTCTCAAGTTTAACTCTTAACCTCAGAAAACCAGCACAAATTAAGACATGAATTCAAAGTTTTAGGTTTTGTCCCTAGCGCGTGCAGGATGATGATACATAGGAGATTTTGGCATTTTTGCATGAAGGGTTGGTGAGTGATAGTCCAGACATTCCCACTTTTCTCTGTATCCCCATAGCTCTGCACAGTATAGGCTCTGCTTAAAGCTCTAGCTGTGGGTGATACTTACTCAGTATAGGGTACATGAGCAGGACCTTCCTCCTGTAAATGTCCGGGGGGAACTTGGCATAGTAAACTTTGGCTTTTTGGGTTTCCTCGTCACTCTGAATGAGGATCTTGCCGATACGGATGGATCTGCAGCAGTCTCGCAGTCCCTGTTCCATCGCTTCACCTGAAATCATACAGTAACAACCAAAGCTCAAGCCTCACAGCCTTCAAAATCTGTCCTGTAAGAGGGAAACTGATCAACCAGTGTTCTGCCTTTGCCAGCCCTGCAAATTTCAAAGGTCACCTTTAAACCTGGTAGCAAAGCGAAACCAGTGTTTGAATTTTTTCAGAAAAAAATCAGACAGTTGCTGGAGTGGATCAGTCAATTGGTCTTTTGTCCATTATGCTGTATAAGGCACTCTCTCTTAATTGACATGCTAAGCCAGTATCCTAATAGCTTGTAGTTATGTAAGAATTAATGTCACCGTTTGAAAGAGTACACATGAAAATGAACCAATTCTTGGTTCCAGGTCTAATGAAATTTCCCACTGTAGTTTAATTCAAGTAATTCCTAACATCTCTACCTTATTGGCTTTGCTTTGAACAACTTCACAAAATGGCTGCCATATACCTCTGAGAGGGGACAGCAATTTTACTGGTGGACAAAATATGTCCCTTTCTGCCTGAGAAGCGCCTTGGGTTCCTTTAGAATTGATTTGGAATGGAAGATAATTGTTATAATTACTAGTAAATGCTCTGGGATCCTTTTTGGGAAGGTGCAAATGCAGTTATTTGCACTAATAACCACTTTAAAGAGTCATATATGTATTACAAATACACTAACAATTATCTGATCTTATACCTCTGATGTTACTTTTAATGGAGAGGCAGTTTTTGTGTCATGTGTTTATTATAGCTCTCACTTAGTAACTAAACACTTTGAAGGAGATTTCTCCTTTTCTGAATTAATATTTTAAGTTTTGTATTCATTAAGGACAAATTGATATAATTGGTTTTCTATCCTCTAATAGCATGGTAGGTCTTAAAAAGGATGAATTCAACAGTGGCTGTAACAAGACAAAGATGCAGCAACATTAATTCTCACTTCAAACCATACTTAAGTAACCAAGAAAAAGGCAAGATATTCAAGATTAGGTTTCCCACATCTGTAGCCGCAGACTGCAGATACTATACAGTAGCTCTGTCATTTACATGTACTGAACTGTGAGAGACAAACCTTTTTGTCCCTTTTCTTTCTTAAAATTTGGAATGAAGAACTATTTTTATGTTTATGCTACCAGTTTGATGAAGGTAACATTAGAGAGTGGCACTTAAGGAATCTCAAATTTAGCAAATGAATGAAATAGATGAGATCTCTAGGTTACAGAGTCAAAGTTTCACCGTGTGCTAAAACCTGTACTGGATGAAATACTCAAGACACCCCTCACAAGTCTTCCTTATACATTTCTCATTCATATGAGATATTTAGGAAATACAGGAGTTGCCAAAAAGTCTATTTGTGGTTAAGTTTCTCTCGGTTTGTCAGTGCAGGAAATATAAAATTGAGAAAAATGTTGCTTTGGGCATTGAGCTACAAACTCAACGTAGGAGCAAAAAAATGGGCTTAGACAAAATCTAAAATCTTCCACTATTGCTAAAAAAACTGTCCCTATTTTGTCACAAAATGGCCTTTTTCTTTATGTTAATTGCCCACAATTGCAGTATTAAAGACAAAGACAGAGAAGGGATGAGCCAGATCAGATTACTCAAGACCAATACCTGCGTTCCAGAAACCCAGAAATTTTTCTTTCAGCTCAGATACCCTCAAAATGACTGATGTTTAGAATTTACCAAAGTTTTTTTGGCGGCTGAACATTAATTATGGTGATTTTTTTTCATTAAAATTAGGCGCTAAAATGACATTGATGAAGACCCGCAGAATGTTAAAATCCCCAAAAGATCACGGGATCACCTTATTTCCATCTCTATAATATTGCATCAAGATTATACTAGATGAGAAAGCAGGTCGGACTAATTTGGTTTCCAGCTGACCTTGGATGAATAAACACCAATCACTGACAAGACCAGACAGAATATAGGCTATCAGCTTGCAGTGCTCTTTTCCCTTTAGGTTCTAGTTGACTAAAATCTTACCGCTTCTCATGATACTGACGCCACAGTTGCCCTTTTCAAACTTGACCCCGTCATACTTGTGCCCTAAGGAAAGAGAAAGGATGACTGTGAACTGAGGTGCTGGAGTCTAATGTTCAGCCTCACCACTCACCATCCTGGGCAAGTCAGGCAATCCACTTATTTTTTCAGCAACATGAATATTATCAAACCAAATCAATCACAAGGGTATGGTAAACTCCTCTCATGCGAAAATATGGTTAGAGGGTGCTTTCTGAATGCATGTCTGAAGAGACCTTGTGTGAGCACATTAGCCATGAACATTTACATCTACTGTATGATTCACTTCACCATCTAAAAATTGCATTGAGAAACTGCTTTCCACCACAGGTGCGACAGGTTTAGTAAAAACAATTCCATTTTTTTTACTGTAGAAACCTAATCCTAATCCTGCATCACTGGCTCAATAAACAGAATTTGATATACACCCAAAAATGAGCGAAGTGATTGTGCCCAAAGTGTAGGGTGAGTGGGGTTGATAGTGTGCTGTCTCACCTGTAGAGGTAGTGACTGTGCCCATAGTGTACGATGAGAGAAGTTGATTGTGTGCTCTCTCATCTGCGGGGGTAGTGACTGTGCCCACAGTGTATGGTGAGTGGGGTTGATTGTATGCTCTCTCACCTGTGGGTGTATTGACTGTGCCCACACTGTAGGGTGAGTGATGTTGATTGTATGCTCTCTCACCTGTGGGTGTAGTGACTCTGCCCACACTGTAGGGTGAGTGAAGTTGATTGTGTGCTCTCTCACCTGTGGGGGTAGTGACTGTGCCCACACTGTAGGGTGAGTGAAGTTGATTG